ATAAAAACTCCTGATGCAGCTAAAAGTTAGGTTTCCTTGTTATAAAAACTCCTGATGCAGCTAAAAGTTAGGTTTCCTTGTTATAAAAACTCCTGATGCAGCTAAAAGTTAGGTTTCCTTGTTATAAAAACTCCTGATGCAGCTGAAAGTTAGGTTTCTTTCATGCTGGAAATATTACAAAGGATAAGTTTCTACGAAATGTCATAACTACTGCATATGTATAAATAAAATATAATCTGTTTCGGTTTAAAGATGTTTTTAAAGTGTTCTTAAGAAACTTTTATTAATTGTTTTTAACCCTAACTATAAGCAAAACTTCAAGGATTTTCACGTGACTTAAACAACTTGCATATAAAATATAAAGTATGTTCGATGTTCAACACAGCAGTTTGTGTAAATATTACTAATCTCGATTAAGTTGGTCATGACTCAATTTTAATAAGACAAAGCAAAATAGCCCTTCCTTGATAAGATCCAACTAACTAGTCTTAGCTTGATAAGATCAAACTAACTAGTCTTAGCTTGATAAGATCAAACTAACTAGTCCTAACTTGATAAGATCAAACTAACTAGTCTTAGCTTGATAAGATCAAACTAACTAGTCCTAGCTTGACAAGATCAAACTAACAAGTTCTAACTTGATAAAATCTAACTAACTAATCCTAACTTGATAAGATCCAACTAACTAGTCCTAACTTGATAAGATCAAACTAACTAGTCTTAGCTTGATAAAATCAAACTAATTAGTCCTAACTTGACAAGATAAAGCAACAACGACTCTTTTTATCACAAAATCGGGTAACAATGACGAGACCGTAAACATTGATTCTTTCTGGAATAACATCAAATAACACAAATTGTTTTCTAACAAAATCAATCCAAACTGGTTCTTCCAGAAAATGTAGAATTTTAATATATTTTGTTGGACATAAAGCAGGAAGAACCAATAATGTATATCTGTTCTCTGAGGTTGTGAATCAAAGTGTCTTTTTTAAATAAATACTACGAAATCAGTTTGCATAAGGCGCTTTCTAAAAACAGACTTAAATGGATGTAATACTAATGTTCAACACGAAACGTCCGTAACCCAGACCTTAGCTCCCTTTACAACCCTATTACAGACAAGCAAAGTCAAATAACAACAGAATTACATGGGTGTAATACTTATGTTCAACACGAAACGACCGTAACCCAGACTTTAGCTCCCTTTACACCCGTATTACAGATTAGCGAGGTCAAATAACAACATAATTACATGGGTGTAATACTAATGTTCAACACGAAACGTGCGTAACCCAGACCTTATCTCCCTTTACAACCGTATTACAGACTAGCGAAGTCAAATAACAACAGAATTACATGGGTGTAATACTAATGTTCAACACGAAACGTCCGTAACCCAAACCTTAGCTCCCTTTACAACCGTATTACAGACAAGCGAGGTCAAATAACAACATAATTACATGGGTGTAATACTAATGTTCAACACGAAACGTCCTTATCTCAAACCTTTTAGAAAAGAATAAATATTAAGTAAAACAATTTGAAACAAATCAACTGAGCTGAAAAGCAACTGAGCTAAAAATCAACTGAGCTAAGTGTATTTTACTTGAAACAACTGGAAGCTGGAACTAGTAATGAGAAACTAATGTTGTTGGACATTATGTTCTTAAAATATGTAATGAACGAGGTTTGTTTATAAAGTTAATTTGAAAATAAAATTACATTAAAATACAATTATTCTTTGACAAAGATCCCACGAGTTGCGGCGTTATATGTGTGACAGAATGTTTAATCTAAAGACAGTTGATTTACTTTCAAAATGTAATAACATTCATAAAATAGAAAAAGTTTAGGAGTACGCTCCGTCCTTTGATAGATGTCCCCTCTCTCTCTCTTTTTTTGGAAGCTCAATTAGCTTTTAAGAGTATAGAAAAGAAAGCGTCATTTTTTTGTTGTCGTATTCGAACAATAATAAATAACACAAAGAACTTACTACAGAGTCGAAGTTTCAAAAACAACTAATTGTTAGCCAATATTTATTGCAATAAATAATTCCATAACACACATGCAAACAAAACATTTCTGTATAGACAAATAGTCCGTTTATTTGGGACCTGACGCAAAGCAAAGCTGTTTGAATTTTTTGTTACATTTTATAACAACCGTGCCGATCAGCTGAACATTGAAAGCATTCTGATAGCCAGCATACCCAAGCAGTCGGTGTTTGTGTTTTTTTTTTGTTACATTTTATGACACCCAAGACTTTCTCCAGTCTTCTGGATAAGATGGATAGGGATAGGCGGCTTTAAGAGCTGGAACACTAGGTGCAGCTACACGAATGTTTGGAACAGCTGGAACAACTGGAGCAACGGCCACCTTCTTTACTACGGGAACTGGAGCAGGGGCAGGAGCAGGAGCTGGAGCAGGGGCAGCTGCAGAATTGATCTCGACATCGGCGGGGTTCTGGTTTGCTGTGCCGGCCTCATTAGTAGAAATTGAGGCACGGAAACCTCCCTCATCTGCGGTGTAATCTACTTGACGATAGGTGCCCCAAGGGTCCCAGTAACCGTAGGAGCCAGTTACCCTACCGGCACCATCACCACTCTCCTGGCGTGCCAGCCTGGTTCCGAACTCGTCGACGGTATCATAGCCAGTGTCGTAAGGTATGGGAACGTCAATGTCCTGTATAATGTTGTGATCAAATATAGATTAGTCACGAAAGTGTATGTCATCTTTACTCTAAGACGATCTTTTAGTTATAGTTTTAGTTAAGCGTTAATTTGAGTTTTATCAAAGTTTACAACAAGGGTCAACTGAAGAAAATCTAAAACTAAAGTTATTACTTTTTATGAATGGAGTTGATAAAGAAACGAGCCTTGAATATATAGATTGATTTGTTCTTTGTCGCATTGTTTAAAGTATGAATGGAATATAAAATATAACTATTTAGAACATGAATATAAAGTTATTACTACTTAGAACATGAATATAAAGTTATTACCACTTACAACATGAATATAATTTATTTATCCAAATTTAATAACTGTCATCTATTTAACATCCGGCCTGCGAGTCAATGACATCGAATTCGGGGATTGTTAGATTACAATGAAGTTTCACAGTTTCCGATATTCAAGTTAGAACCAAAAGTATTTGCTTATAAAAGGTTCTATGTGTGAACCTCAAAAATCTAAACTCGGCTGCTGTGAGGTTCCTCAGATCCTATCGCTTACATTAGTTAAAGTGTTCATGTTTAAGCGGGTACCACACTTAGCCTTCTTATTGAGGCCAGATATCTTTGTTGAGCCTTTTTCGGCCATCTCAGTCAAGAGAACTCATGATAAACGCGTAGAAAACGGTTTTATAGATCTGAGGAACCAGATCTTGTATTGTCCAACTTGTGTTATAGGTTTTACTCTTTCCTAGTATAGAAAGTAGTGTGAATTCAGCCAATTTAGATTGCAGGTGTCGCAGGGGCTCAAATCGTTATTCAGACTTTAAGATAAACATCTTTGTTTTGGAATCATCCCAGCTAACGTATTTCCTTGACTCACAGTCTATGTGTATAATAGAAAACAAATAGTTATCTTAAATATGAAATATTAATGCTAGAATATAAATTATCTCAGACTTACAGGGGCAGGAGCGACAACGTGACCTACAGGGGCAGGAGCGACAACGGGACCAGGATAAATATAACCTGCAAAAGATCCCACGACGAGAGCAAGTAAAATCACGACCTAAAACCAACAAACATGAAATTATGTTCATAAATAAAAATTCTTATAAATGTAGCACACTATGATATTAAACATATTTTTACATATAGAATTAAATATCCCAAAGTACAAGTTACATAGTAGACATTTTAATATTATAACGTAGTTAACATTTGAATATCCTAAAGTTGAGAGGGAAGTTAAACATCATAGGTTAGAAGTCACATCTTAAAAAACATAGGGTTGAAGTTACAGGACTGATATCATGAGTTCACATATTAAACAATAGTTACATGTTAAACAATAGGGTATAGATTATATGTCACACATGAAACAATAGTTACATGTTAAACAATAGGGTAGACATTATATGTCACACATGAAAGAATAGTTACATGTTAAACAATAGGGTATAGATTATATGTCACACATGAAACAATAGTTACATGTTAAACAATAGGGTATAGATTATATGTCACACAGCAAACAATAGTTACATGTTAAACAATAGGGTAGACATTATATGTCACACATGAAACAATAGTTACATGTTAAAAAATAAGGTATAGATTATATGTCACACATGAAAGAATAGTTCCATGTTAAACAGTAGTTACAGGGACATTATATGTCACACATGAAACAACAGTTACATGTTAAACAATAGGGTATAGATTATATGTCACACATGAAACAATAGTTACATGTTAAACAATAGTTACATGTTAAACAGTAGTTACATGTTAAACAATAGTTACATGTTAAACAGTAGTTACATGTTAAACAGTAGTTACAGGGACATTATTCATGATCATTCACTCACTGACAGATCGAAAAAGTTTTGAACTTCTTTCTGTCAAGTGGAGTAAATGCAATTTCTTGAAATTGTTTGTTTTTGAATTTCGCGCAAAGCTACACGAGGGCTATCTGCGCTAGCCGTCCCTAATTTAGCAGTGTAAGACTAGAGGGAAGGCAGCTAGTCATCACCACCCACCGCCAACTCTTGGGCTACTCTTTTACCAACGAATAGTGGGATTGACCGTCACATTATAACGTCCCCACGGCTGAAAGGGCGAGCATGTTTGGTGTGACGGGGATTCGAACCCGCGACCCTCTGATTGCGAGTCGAGCGCCCTAAACACCTAGCCATGCCGGGCCCACTTTTCTTGAAATAGCCGAAATGTTTGATAAACAAAATTATCAACATTGGTCAGAATGCTGAACGTTAAGTACTTAGAAGTGGAACTTTTATAAAATTCACTTCAGCTTGTTACAATACATTTTCGGGCATTAATTCAAAACATTTATGTGAAAATGAGCTGTGAGCGTAAAGCAACTATTAATAGTAACTTAGTATGATCTGACATATTAGAACACCCTGTCTTAATCTTCGTAACTTAGTATGATCTGACATATTAGAACGCCCTGTCTTTATCTTCGTAGTTCAGTATGATCAGAGAACCACAAGTGAAATATATCTTTAGTTATTTCAACGAAACTCCTACCTTTGAAAGCATGCTGAACCACGACTCCCTGAGATTAGGTATGCTAGAGTTTATTGGACTGTAGTTGTGAACTGTAACTGAAGATACATATTTATATAGTGTAGACAATTTGGGTCGAAGCGTTGTCTAACAACCCCACCCTCGTCTGACACGCTTCTCATCATATCGGTTGTCTATTCTCAGAGTAATTCACCTCAAACGATGAAAGTTTTACGTCACCTTTCGTCTTACTTTTGTATGTGCTTCAGCTGGAATTCATGAAATTAATACCAGATTCCATCCCTTACGGGTTAGAAAACGAGTCTCACAAAGCACAGCTTAAGTCTTTGCATTATTTTTTGGTCAGGACTTGGGCGGGGTTCAGACTCTTTGCCCCAACATACTTGTCTGTTGTTTTCCTAACAGAATCCTATTTTAGACAATACCTAACTAGCTACGTTTTGTTGGCCTGGGTTTATATCCAGTAATCCACGCCCTTTAAATATAGGAAACAACGATTTGATTTTATAAACTGAGTTAACGATTTCAGGAGTGGATTTAGTTTCTTTGTATTTTTTAAAGAAACATTTTACAAAATTCAGAACAGTTTCAACATAATTTTTGTTTTCACTATCAAATTAAATTGAGGTTTTTCAAAACTTCACCAAACACCAGAGGAAACAGTTATTTATGTATTTGTTAACTTGATACGAGACTTCCAAGATCTATAGAACAAGAGCAAGGGCTGCTGAACGGTGACCATAATTCTCTATAAGTCACCTTTATTATTTAGTGAAGTAGTTTGGTAGCACCTTCGTCTTTTTGTCGAAACGTTTCTTTAATATCTCTCTAGTAAAAATAATTTACTAAAGCGGGTTTACAACTACTGAATATCAAAATCTAGAGCTTAACTAATTGTAGTTTGGTTCATCTTATACTGAGTATTTGAATAAGTCTCTTGTTTTTTGTTGCAGATACTTTCAGACTGAATAATGAAGAAACCAAGAACAAGGATGCCAAATCTGGAAGAAATACGTAAAACATTTTTCCCAACTGAAGAACTCGAAATAAAAAAAAAGAACATTTGAGGCCTTCCTAGGAAAACGCCTATCTACAACTAAACAGTTAATTAGTTAAAATTTAAACGCTGACTTATTCTGAATAATTTTGTTTGTTTATAGTTAAGCACAGAGCTACATATCTGTACCGTGCCTAACACTGGTATCGAAACCGGTTTTTACTGTTATAAGCCTTCAGACTTACTGCTGAGCCACTAGGGCGTAACAAAGAACCAACTATGAACCAATACACCCAACACTTATGATAAAAATCACGTAAACTGCCTACAATTGAGAAACCAATACATATAAATCATACATTTTAAAGTCCTTTACTGCATATATAAATAATGTTTTAGAGAAACTCTGTCCCTGATTGTCTGGTATTAAAGAAAACCATCTCAGGAAGTGACTTGTGGGAAACAGAAGGTAGATCTGAAATGCTAATTTTACAATCTCTGAATCTGAATACAAAATGAGCATATATAGAGAAAATAAAATAAAAAAAAAACGCTTGCAATTTACATGAGTTTATTCTAAATGTTCTACGCTTAATTCTGGATTTTTTAAATGTCATAATTCCAACAACTATTCATTTTAACATTGTGCTATATTATTGAGAACGTTACTATATTCTTTAGGCTTTATATTGAGGCCTGTTGTTTCTCTTCACATATAACAATACTATTGATTCCCAACTCCCTGTAAAAATGTGATGTGTTTCACCCAGCAAGATATTCGGTTATATAAATACAGAGACACTCAAATACGTCACTCGAAGTAATGCTCAATGATGGACATTTAGAATGTCTAGGAAACACTAACATTACATCATCCCAAGGAATGGTTAATGTCGGAAGTTTAGAATGTCTAAGATGAGCCAGTACAAAACCTGACTTTGGTTACAGTTAGAACCACTTCAACATCTATATCGTATTGTTTAGTATAAGATGAGCAAGAACAAAACCTGACTTTGGTTGCAGTTAGAACCACTTCAACATCTATATCGTTTTGTTTAGTGTAAGACGAGTCAGTACAAAACCTGACTTTGGTTACAGTTAGAACCACTTCAACATCAATATCGTTTTGTTTAGTGTAAGACGAGTCAGTACAAAACCTGACTTTGGTTACAGTTAGAACCACTTCAACATCTATATCGTTTTGTTTAGTGTAAGATGAGCCAATACAAAACCTGACTTTGGTTACAGTTAGAACCACTTCAACATCTATATCGTTTTGTTTAGTGTAAGTTGAGCCACTACAAAACCTGACTTTGGTTACAATTACCACGACTTCAACATCTATATCGTTTTGTTTAGTGTAAGATGAGCCAGTACAAAACCTGTCTTATTCGATAGAGATGTAGTAATTACCCCCTGAATAACATACAATCACTCTACATCCATAACTTAAATATAACCAGCAAAATTTAAACATGATCGAAATGGATTATTCGAAACGAACATTTCTTTTATTGATAGAGCATGTCAAATCTAATCTTCTGCCTTCAAACATCTCTACTTGTTAATTATAGTTCTAGAAACTCTTTTGTAAATTATTTGTACATTAAGTGACTTTTTCTTTGTGGCATACGATGACCGTCTCTAAAGTTGTACTATTGTCTTTGTGGCATACGATGGCCGTCTTTAAAGTGATACTATTTTCTTTGTCTTTGTGGCATACGATGGACGTCTCTAAAGTGATACTATTGTCTTTGTCTTTGTGGCATACGATGGACGTCTCTAAAGTGATAATATTGTCTTTGTCTTTGTGGCATACGATGGCCGTCTCTAAAGTGATACTATTGTCTTTGTGGCGTACGATGGCCGTCTCCAAAGTGATACTATTGTCTTTGTCTTTGTGGCATACGATGGCCGTCTCCAAAGTGATACTATTGTAAGTTCTTTATACATTAAGGAATTTGGTCACATACGGTGGAAGACTCTAATGTAAAACTATAGAAACTTCTTTGTAGGTGCCTCCCAGTGAAACGGCGGTATGTCTGCGGACTTACAACGCTAGAATCCGGGTTTCGATACCCGTTGTGGGCAGATCACAGATATCCCATTGTGTAGCTTTGTGCTTAATTACAAACAGACAAACCTTTGTAGGTTCTCAATGCACTTAAGGACTTGTTCACATACGGTGGACGCCTCTAAAATGATACAATACTAATTAGTTTATATAGTATTGTCCAAAATGTTTCCACAGTGTTCTATAATGATGTTATTGTCTACATTCATGGGGTAGTAACAGAGAAGGTAGCGCATGATCAGTCAGTATAAGTTGTTTTGAACATATGTTCGTCAAAACATACATACACAGCTGTTTTGTATAAAAGGGTGTTGTTTTGATATAATTTTTTTAGGAACAAACCGACGATTTGTTCAGACAATTTCTCTGTACTTGGTGTAGAGTCATGCCTCGTCACGTGCCAGAAGTTATAGGGCGTCAAATTGTTGGACTGTCTAGAAATGGA